TCGATACATAAAAAAATGTTTAATTAATAAATTAATTATAAACAATAATTTGTATAGAATCTTAAAAGGTGAAATATAAACTTTTGGTCATTTTATTTTCTAATAATATAATTTGAAGAATTTTTCTTTAATAATTTTAATTATAATATAAAATTAAATCAATAAAATAATTTATATTTAGTTAAAAAATTCAACATATATAACAAAATGTCAGCTCTAAACAAATATTTAATAAACAAACAAAATATTAAAAAAATAAAATAAAGAACCCATATATTAGGTTGAAATAATTTAAAAATAAAAATATTAAAATATCTATTTACTTTTTTATTAATATATAATTTTTTCCTTTACTTTTAATTTATTTATTTACAAAATATATCATTAACAATTAATTATAAATAGTAAATTAGCTGTCAATAATAATAAATATATATAAAAATTAATCTTAATTATTTTTAAAAATAATTATACTTAAAATATTTTACGTGAAATCATATAAAATTTAAGTTACCTTATAATTAAAAAAAAAATTACGTGCATTGCACGTGGTAATACACTAGTCTTACTAAAGCATGGAAGCTCAAACAGAACAGAAAATTAGGGATACGAAGAAAAAGCTCTTTTTGATGCAGAAGTAGTTCGTGATGATTGCAACTCCACAATATTGAACTTCAACATATCAATAACATTCTTAAATCCTCAGTAACTAAATTACCTGATTCCTTAGTGTCTTGAGGCATGTCAATAGTAGCTGAGGATTAAATGTCCAAGGAGCTGATTCATCGATTAGAAATCAACCCCCTGATGCTTGCAAGGGATGAAATCAACAAATAATTTAACTAGAGATCTCACCTCCCCGTCTTGCATGTGCTTCTTCTGGATTCTGTTGAGATGAGAACACATCTTACAGTTAGCAGTAAGTAAACCACCATACGTAACAGATAAGATATACTTGTGGATCTGAGCTCGAAGCTTGGTGCGCATGACATCGACAAAAGCATGTAGGTAGCATCTTGTATTGAATATAGAGATAACATCATAGTAATACAACATGAAAAGCTTATTAAAAAGATTTAGATCAAAAAGACCACCCATCGGATGGTAAGATGTATCATTTGTAGTGCAAGAACTGGCAACATAAAATACTTGAATATTACCCTAATAAACCAATGACAGCCTCTACAGGAAAAAGAAGTGCTGTAGTATGCTGAATAAAGTCCTACTAAGATCATGAATAATTAAAAGATACAGTCACAGATAGCAGAATTTTACTGAAAAATGATAAAAGATGGCTGGAATGGCCTGCAGGCAGAAAGCGCCCATTTCAAAAGTAACAAGATTCGAAATTACTTTCCATGTACTCAATATCTCAAGAAAATGGAACTGAATACCAAAAAAAGAAGGAAAAAAAAATCTCCTCATGAAATCTATCTTCCTATAAGTCAAATCAATCTGATGGTTTGTGCATTAATGTGAAAATTATTAAAACAAGAAAGGCAGTGTGAACACTGAAAATCAACAAATACAAACTCACCTCCATTGCATCAAGCTGAGAACGATAAAGATGGAAACCATCCATAGGGAGAACGGCAGCAACATCGGCAGGTTCTACCCGAGAATCCATTGAAGAAGCTTTCTGGGGCCATAACATATTGATACGCCGCACAACCTCAGAAGCTATAGTGGTTTTGCCAGAACCAGGAGGACCAGCCAACCCTACAATATGCCTGTATCATCACATAAATACGAAAAAAAAGGTGAATAATAGGCAGGATTGGCAAAAGTATCAAATATACTAAGGAAAATTGAAAGAGGGAAAAGAAAGGCAACTAGGATTCATGAAATTTATAGGAAAACAAGCTGCCTTATTCACTGCACTCGAATATAAATGGACGTCTTTTCTTTATATAAGTATAATAAGACATTCTCAATTTAAGTCTCATATAGTGATATAATATAACATCAGTTGCCATTTATGCTATCGACAATACCCCCAGGGCCATTCATGTTTAAGCAACTAAAGCAATAAAACCAAGTGACATGTTTTAGACGAAAGATGACAAAATTGGAAGCCTTATTGGGGATTCAAGGTAATAGCCATGCTTTGTAATAACAGAAGATCACCATTGAAATCCTACAGAGAAGATTTTCTCATCGTCTATCAAAATAACGGCTCTGGTTGGAGTAATAAGATTTTAATGTTTTTTATGGAGCAATAAAATGAACAATGCTAATAATGTGCAATTTAGTTGACATGCAATGATGAATTTTCTTTAAAAAGTATTGACTATCTATTGTGCTGCCCCCACCCCCTATTTATTATTTTTTTTTTTTTGACATCTGTGGGTGTCCGACCAGCTTGTGTCGATTAATCTCACGGGACAACCGACCCTACTACATTTGGTTGCCAAGATAGCTCGTAGGATATTAAATCTTGGTAAGTGGCCACCATGGTTTGGACCATTCCCTCTAAGCTTTTTGTTATTTACATTGGCCCTTATTGATCACTAGGCCACACCATGATGGTTGCCCCCACCCCCTATTTTAACGGTCTTGAAAGGTTTGACTTACTTAAGATTGGGATCTGAAGCTGCTGCTGCTGTTGGAAGAATACGTTTAGCTAAATCATCATATATGTCATCTATACACCTTGAGAGATAATTGAAAGAACGTCAAAATGGACACAAGAGAAGTAGCAACAGAAAAATGATTAATTATGGTAAAATATAGATTATTATGTGTCAAATGCTGAAATCATTCTATTCAATCATGTGTAGAATGCAGCTTTAAAGCATTTACATTAAAATGATCGTTAACCATGCAAGAAACCAATAACAGTAATTTTGCCCATTGATCCTCATAACCAAAGAATTTGTTATCGAAATGATGAAATGCTGGAAGGCTGCCGCATACTTATTTGTAAGACCAAAGCCCAGAGGCATCCCTCAACTATCATGAAATCTATATTTAAAAATAAGATGCATAATTCATCCTCTGCAATTGCACAAAAATATTCTTTTTTTTCCCCCAATATAATTGAGCATTCGTCTCCAATACTTCTAGGTTAAATTGCTTAGAATTCCTTTAACGTTTAATCTAAAAAGAAAAAAAGAAAATTGATGCAGGATGGAAGGTTTCTAAGATATTAAAAGCAGCATCCTCAAGTCTGCAAGTTAAATATCCCTTCCTAGAGTCAACAATAAAAATTGAATTTTCCTCTTATTGAAGTCCTATTTTTCTTTCACACTTTTAACGCCCGGAATATCAATTGAAATAGAAATATAGCATATTTAAATATGGTGTGTAGCGTACCTGCCCTCTACAACAGAAAATTCTCTCTTTTGACTGCAAAAAAACTGGAAAAAGGGAAGAGCCAACAGTGACATTTCAGAGCTCATATAAAAAGAACTGAACAATGAACATAACTATTTGAGACAGATAGAGAGAAAGGAAGAGAATGTACCGTGACACACTTATTCTTCCTACACAAACCTCTAGTCTGACCATAGAACAGTGGTCGATATTTATAGGCTGAATTGAATGACAGAAAGTTATGATCTCTGGTTACACGTTTTTCCTTTCTGAAAGACAGCAATTCTGCAGATAAATGTATTTCTGAAATGAAAATACAACAAGACGTTTCAGTTGACTACTATTGAGAAAAATGATGAGCAAAAGAATTTTCTGCTAGAGAGCAGGAATGCTCAAATCCTTTACGCAATTACACGATTACATCAACACGATCGATTTGAGGATAAAATTTAACAGGCAAAAGTATTAAGGCACGAGTGCGAAAGCGATGAAATCATCTGGAACTCCTCTATTCTACTAGCTCTAACGCAATTAGTTTTCTCAATAAGTACCATTAGTATTGTCGGACGAAAGAAAACTAGTGAAGAAGAAGAACAGATATGCATTATCCAAAGAAGAAAAACGATTACAGACCTGTTGGGGCAGCCGGAGATAGGGAAGCTTCCATGGCGGAATCAGGAAGAAGAGGAGAATGGCAAGTGCATGAAATTGTTCAAATCAAAATTAAGAACTTCATGGAAACTGATCAGTTGGAGAAATAGTGGAATAAACAAATGCTCGAAGCACCAAACACTCCTCAAATATTGACCGTAACCATGGAAATCCAGTTCTGAATCTCTGATCGAAGCCAGAGCTGACGGATCGGGTCAACCGAACCGTTAAATGTGGAACCAGTTAACACCGCACCGGTCGAGAAAAAGGAGACGTGTCGCTCTAGAAACAGCATGATCTGGCAACCAATCATACTGGACTTTAATGGGCCTGGTTTTTGGGCTTCTCATATGTTCATCAGAAGTAAATTGGGCCTCATACAAGTTTTCATTTTTTTTACCTTATTTTTTTTGGAACTATCCCATGTAAATAAAGATGCAAACATTGTGGTATGTAGAGTGAAAATTGGTAGTTGCTGGTTCTATATCATTTACCTCCTTGGTTGGAGGCCTTTTGCAAAACTTGGTTGGCCTTGTTTTAATATATTTTCCTTTTTCAAAATTTTAAATGAATGACATTAAAACATTCGTTTAAAATTGTAACTATAATTTTTTTCGATGTCGTGTGGCTTATATTAGTAGACCTCTATAATCGAAATTTGTTGTGTGGATTGAACAATACTGTTACCAGCATAGAGCTCAAACGTAAGTGGTACTTCAAGGTCTAAAGTACTTGCCATTGTGTCATCCCAAGAGATAAATTGTGATTGTAATTTCAACTTTTCAATAGTGATCATTTTGATCCACATTTGTAAAATTTTTACACAAATTATATATAATCAAAACCTTTCAAAATATAAAGTTATATCTATATTTCAAAAAATATATTGAGTATAATTTTAGGTTGAAATTATGATTAAAAAAAGAGATAAAAATGAAAATAACGAAGGAAAACGACCACTTTTAAAAGTACAAGGACAAAAATAGTATTTTACCTCATTTTTACCATGTTAGTATGATTTTGTTTATTCTTTTGTATAGGTATCCATCCTAGATTTAAGCATATTTTCACTATTCACAAGCACATTTATTCTACAATATTTAAAATTAAGCAATTGAGTAAAACATTTTATATTTTAAGTAGGAGACCACCCATAATTTAAATCTATATGACTTCAAAGGGATCTTTTAAAACTAAGGGCACATGTTAGTAGGTCCAATATTTGATCAAAACCCCAAGATGAAGTTTTCTTTTAATTATTATTTTTTATATAAAAGGA